TTACTTCTTATCCCTGAAAACTGAACGATTCCCGTAGGATAGAGCTATTTGTGCTTTTCTAGTAGCGAATCCGAGCAAATCGAGGGTTAGCCGCTAGTCTATATTATAATAAATAAAATAGTCTATATTATAACTGCCTCGGTGTTGTAGTGGCTAGCATGTACGGCTGCACACCCGGAGGTCCTGGGTTCGAGTCCCGGGTCCGGTCAAGTTTAGTTATTGGGTCTTTCTGTATAATAAGCTTCAGTAACAGCCCGGAGTTAGGAAGTTGGCGGTGTTTCACCCCCGTGCCTCGGAAAGCACGTAAAGCCGTCTGTCCTGCGCCTTAACTCCCACTGGTTGTGTCAAGCAGTTGGTCGTCCCACCGGAGTATGAGAGTGACAGGAATAGAGAGTGCACTTGTGTCTGCGCGTACACTTGTGCACTATAATATCTCCTGCGCAGTTGGTTAGTCTCAATGAGATTGGCCGCCGTGGCCGAAATCGGCCAGGAGAACATCATCATCATCATCATTATAATAAAACTGTAGAGGTCTGTACATAGAAAAAAATGCTCAAAACCGAGTCAGGGGGACGTAAGAAGAGAAATAGAACAAATTCAGTTTGTTTTTTCAATTTTTTTTTCTCTGTCTGTTTGTCTGTTTGTACGGGCTAATCTCCAAAAATATTGGACCGATTTAAATGAAATTTTGCATAGTGGTACCTCATATCCCTGGTCAACATCTTACATACTTTTCATCCCAGAAAAATGAAGAGTTCCTGTGGGATAGTTAAAAAAACTATAATGAGTTATACAGCTTAGTACACTGAAACTATTCATTAGATTTTAATGAATCTTTATAATAATATAGTTCAGATTACACCACAATAACAAAAAGGCTACTTTTTATCCCGGAAAAATGTACGGTTCGTGTGGGATAGATTTGTGTTTGTTTCTTTGTAACGTATTATGTGTTTGTGTACACAATGAAGACCCCAAAACAATAGTTATTAAAATTTTGTTTGTACGGGCTAATCTCCGAAACTGTTGGACCGATTTGAATGAAATTTTGCATGGTGGTACCTTATATCTTCGAACATTTTAGATACTTTTCATCCCGGAAAATTAAAGAGTTCTCATGGGATAGTAATAAAACTATAGTAACTTATACAGCTTAGTACACAAAAACTCATATATACTTTGTAGACCGGAAAAATGTACGGTTCCCGTGGGATAAATTTGTTTTTGTTTGTCTAGAGGCGAACCCGAGCAAAACTAGGGTGAGCCGCTAGTATAATATAATTCATAATATAAAAGTATGTAAATTATTTTTAAATATATAAGTTGTATAGTCCGACAATGCTTTAAGAAATGAATGTCTAATAGGTAAACAATAGGGGTCAAAGTATGAAATTGCCGATTTGTACTGGAAAATTAAAATTCGTTTTTTTTAATTTAACGTATTTTATTTATTCAAAACAATTACCATTATCTATACATACAATAAAATTTTACTAAGGCGAATCTGTACATTTAATATTTTTTTCGAAAATCTAATTAAAATAGACATAATTATCGATACAGAGTCCGCATCTATAGTTTTTCGAATTTTTGTCTGTCTGTCTGTCTGTCCGTCCGTCCGTCCGTTACCGCATCACAGAAAAACCACTGGAGGGATTTTGATAAAATTTGGTATGGTGATAGCTGGTTATCCGGGTCAACATATAGGATACTTTTTACAGCTGGAAAATATCTCATTTCTGAGAAAAAACACAAAAGCTGCAATGTAAGAGTATACTAATATGTAAAACCTAAGAATTTGGCTTTTGGTCATCTGAACGCGGGCGGAGCCGCGGGCAATGCTAGTTCATTATATTAATATTATCATCATGTTAAACTTCACCAAAATATAAATAATGAAATATCTCTAGAATTTTACTTTGTACAATCATAGTTTTCTTCGATTTAATTATGAATAATATATAGATAACTTTATCTTTAAATGATAGGTAATAAGCTTATAAATAATAATGAAAAATCAAATAAAAATTAAAAAGCACTAAATATTTCAAACATTATTTATTCCCATACAAAATCTATACATATAATAAAATTGTAACTAAGCCGAATCTATACATTAGATATTTTTTTGGAAAATCTTATTGAAATAGACATTATTATCGATACAGAGACCGAATCTATAGTTTTTAGAAATTTTGTCTGTCTGTCTGTTAATGTATCACGGACAAACCACTGGAGGGATTTTGATAAAATTTGGTATGGTGATAGCTGGTTATCCGGGTCAACATATAGGATACTTTTTACAGCTGGAAAATATCTCATTTCTGAGAAAAAACACAAAAGCTGCAATGTAAGAGTATACTAATATGTAAAACCTAAGAATTTGGCTTTTGGTCATCTGAACGCGGGCGGAGCCGCGGGCAATGCTAGTTCATTATATTAATATTATCATCATGTTAAACTTCACCAAAATATAAATAATGAAATATCTCTAGAATTTTACTTTGTACAATCATAGTTTTCTTCGATTTAATTATGAATAATATATAGATAACTTTATCTTTAAATGATAGGTAATAAGCTTATAAATAATAATGAAAAATCAAATAAAAATTAAAAAAGCACTAAATATTTCAAACATTATTTATTCCCATACAAAATCTATACATATAATAAAATTGTAACTAAGCCGAATCTATACATTAGATATTTTTTTGGAAAATCTTATTGAAATAGACATTATTATCGATACAGAGACCGAATCTATAGTTTTTAGAAATTTTGTCTGTCTGTCTGTTAATGTATCACGGACAAACCACTGGAGGGATTTTGATAAAATTTGGTATGGTGATAGCTGGTTATCCGGGTCAACATATAGGATACTTTTTACAGCTGGAAAATATCTCATTTCTGAGAAAAAACACAAAAGCTGCAATGTAAGAGTATACTAATATGTAAAACCTAAGAATTTGGCTTTTGGTCATCTGAACGCGGGCGGAGCCGCGGGCAATGCTAGTTCATTATATTAATATTATCATCATGTTAAACTTCACCAAAATATAAATAATGAAATATCTCTAGAATTTTACTTTGTACAATCATAGTTTTCTTCGATTTAATTATGAATAATATATAGATAACTTTATCTTTAAATGATAGGTAATAAGCTTATAAATAATAATGAAAAATCAAATAAAAATTAAAAAGCACTAAATATTTCAAACATTATTTATTCCCATACAAAATCTATACATATAATAAAATTGTAACTAAGCCGAATCTGTACATTAGATATTTTTTTGGAAAATCTTATTGAAATAGACATTATTATCGATACAGAGACCGAATCTATAGTTTTTAGAAATTTTGTCTGTCTGTCTGTTAATGTATCACGGACAAACCACTGGAGGGATTTTGATGAAATTTGGTATGGTGATAGCTGGTTATCCGGGTCAACATATAGGATACTTTTTACCGCTGGAAATATCTCATTTTTGTGAAAAAATACAAAAACTGCAATGTATACTAATATGTAAAACTTAAGAATTTGGTTTTGGTCACTTGAACTATTATATATTTAATGTATTATTTATCTTCAAGCCATCTTTTCCGGTTTTTCCACCATTAAAAATATTGAGTCAATCGTCTAATACGCAGACTACTTACTGCTACTTACTAGTTCAAAGGCATTCTAAGATAGAAAGATAGATACTTTATTGTACACCACAAAGAAATATACAAAAAGAATGTATAAACAATAGATGATGCACAGGAGGCGGCCTTATCGCTATAAGCGATTTCTTCCAGGCATTAGGGCGTAGTAGAAAATTATATGAAATGATAGGCGGTGTACTTACATACATACATACATACATACATACAAACATACATACGTACGTACGTACGTACATACATACATACATACATACATACATACATACATACATACATACATACATACATACATACGTACATACATTCTTCATCTATTTTCTAAGACAACGCGAGAAAGGTGAGTAACTCAAGAGATAGAAATGGTTTTTAGCAAGAGTTACAAGTCATCGTCTATAAACTGCACATTAGATGTACAAATAATATAAGTATCTATTAAAATAAATAAAAATAATATATTTTAGCTGATACATAAATTATAGGTATCTAACAATTCCACACTTAAATCACTATGCCGTTATTTCCATTCGCCGCCACACACGCACAGATCTTTTGAAAGATTGAAAAAAATATATAAAGAAAGGGCACAGTTAATTCGGTATGAAATTAAATTTAACAATTATGGCAGTTTTGTCATATAGACTTTATCGCTGTCATAGTATTCTCTTAAAAGAGACATACTTTATGATAAGCCGGCTTATTCTACAGATAACATAAACATCTACAAATAACTAGGCTTTTGTGTCAAAACATTTGTGAAAGTTATAGAAATTACTAAATAAGTTTGCTGGCGACTATACAGCAGATTCGATCTTTATATGTCCAACTAGCGACTCAACATCGCTTCGCTTTAGGTTCGTCCCTAGACAAAAATAAACTATCCCGCGGGAACCGTACATTTTTCCGGGATAAAGTATGTACCTATGTGCTATTCCAGACTATAATCTATCTCTGTGCCAAGTTTCATCTTCAGCTATTCTGGAGTGAAAGAGTTACAAACATCCATTCATACTCAGAAAATTTCACATTTATAATATTAGTATGGATATGTAATAATATTTACATATGTCTTATGTAAAGAAGATTCCTCGGTATTACAAATTATTTGATAGATGGCAACTAGCTAAAATTATGAATAAGAAGGTAAGGAAGTGATAACGTTCCTAGATACCAAAGAAAAAGGATCCTTGCAGTACAATCAGCAGGATAAGAGGATTAAATATCGCTAACACACCGAATGAAACAGAAAGATAACGTGTCGATATCGATAATAAAGAAAACATTGTGGTTCAAGCAACGACTAAAATCTATAACTTACTAGACACCTAGCTTTCATACATTTCGCACAAGTTCCTCTTATTAAATTGTTGTAGAATATCATCGCCGATGTGTCTGTTGATGATAGCGGAGCAGCGTAAATCTTGCGTCATGTACTCGAGCGGTGTGTTTAGATTGTACTCGACGACTGGTTGTTCAGAAAACTTCTGTAAATTTGTTGCTCTACATGTCGTAGGACGAAGGCAAACTATATTTGAACGAAGCACGACCGGCACTGGCTCGTACTGAAGTACTTGGTACACTTTTGCGTACGCAGATTCTATGATTTGTTTCGCATATTGACTGGAGTGTTGAATAGTTTCCTTCATTATGCGCGCACAAGCTAATACTTTTTTGTCCCATGTCACAGCAGTTTCTAGATTTTTATTAATTCTTTCATCAGCTTTTTTCATCATAAGACTTGTTGTGTGCTGTAAAATTGCATTTTGGAGATCTACTTCAGTTTTATAAATGCTTAGTTTATGCTGAAAATGTGCCTTGATATCATCTGGGGATCCGCCGATACAAAATATGGTTCCAAGTATACCTGAAAATAAATGTCACTCAGTTCATGAAATCAAATATTTTTATCATAAGAAATTTATAATATAAATAATATACATAAGTCTTACCGTGCGCTTCCAGAATTTCTGCCATTTTTATTGCTATTAAAACACCGCTTTCATAGCCTAATAGGACGAATTTGTCACGAAGACCTGTTTTCTTAAAAAGAACCTGAAATAATTTTAATCCTAATAAATAATGTTTACACTGAGATTATATTATAAACACTCTAAATAAGGCATAGGAATGGTGTGAAATTTTAGTGCTATATTATCATAATCATGCAGAACGAGTACGTTTGTATATTTCTCAATCAATGATTAAAACATTTTTGTTTTTTACTTGAAACGATTTTATCTCAAGACTATTTGTAAAAGAAAGAGACACCTACCTGAACATATCTATTAGCTAAGTCATCCATACTTTCTCGAGGATTATTCAGACCAGGCTGCAGTACGAGCGCGTGGAGTTTGAGTCGCTCACACAATACACGGAACCGCTCATAGTGGCCTTCAACACCCGGCACTATGCACATATACGCTTGACTTTTATCGAAATCACAATCAGACTGTAAAACCACAAAAGACATAATGAGATGGTGTAGTAACTAATTTAAATAAAGCATAATACTGTTACATGTTCGCTATCATATATAACTATATCACCCTGAAAAAATGTTGCATCTGCAGCAATGCTGCTAAATTAACGCTGGAAGGTTATTTTGTGACACTTAAAACACCTTAGTGGCGGTAAAAGCGTTTGCCTTCCTTTCTCGCTTCATGTTCTTGTTCAGTCAGTTCAGCCCTGTTGTCAGAAGGAGGCCATTACGTCATATTTACCACACTTGTTATATATTCTACGTGAAAATGTCCCATGACAGTTTAGATACTCAATAGCCAGGGGCAATTGTCATTCCACCCAACGTGCGTTCACCTTATCGTGGTGGGGGGGCTCAGTAGTGGGCGGTGGGAGGTGGCCCTCTTCGGAGGGCGGTGTACCATGCGGGTTGCTCCTGGTACTTCTCTGTTAGCAGAGTGGTTGTTGTGGTCTGCTTCGGCAGACCTGCCGTCGGGGCGTCGTAGTTGAATGCGTAAGCGATCCTGCGACGCCCCATTAAGACGGGGGGAAGGCTTTGTTGGGTTTGAGTGGGTAGTACTGGCTTCGCCGGTGAGTCCCACACTTCGTGCGTAAATGCATTTCCCAACGTTAAAAAAAAGGGGCCAATTGTCATGCTTGTGACTCTTTTCCGTTAATTAAAACACAGAAACAGCATAACCTGAACGATTTTAACACTATATATTTTCCAACAAACTATTACTACTGAATTTCTTAGCAACTTTTAGGTTTACCAATATTGACATGCTCCTCGAAAACAAACAAGAACCTTAAAATTTTTATAAGTATAAGCCAGCTGCTAGACTAACAAGGCAATGTGAATTAAAAAAAATGCTTTTAGTGTATTTAATTGTTATTCTAAATATTTATATTTAGCTTACCAAAATAGTATTAGTTAATGTTGGTAGAAATACAATGTCACTGCTAGCTTGAATCTCATCAGAGTCTACATTAAAAAATAATGATTTCAGTCCATCGACTTCGGTGTAGTTGATTTTCATAATGTTTCGTTCCAAGTTTTTAAGCCTGCAAACAAAGCATAGTTGCATAAATGTTAAATCAGTTTCAATATGTATTACCTATATTAAAATTATTATTATAGACTACAATAATATAATCTTAGCGACTTGATGGTATTTAGAGGGTATTTTCGTCATTCTTGTCAATATCAAGACATTGATGGTAAACCGTAAAATGTTCAAATTCCTATATTTCGATTAAATCAGAAAATAATCTAGTAAGGAGTTTCTTACACGGTGGGTCGCGACTTGGTACTGGGCGACATGAATAAAATACTGGATCACAATATTTCTCCTTGTTTATAATCATAGTCGTGAATGATCAAGAGACATATTGCTTTTATGTCAACGCAAGCACTACGCCATTGCATTGTTGAGTGGTAGTCGTCATCACTCACGCTTCCCGCATAGTTTTGTTTTACTCGCCCCGCACCTCGAACGCCGCCCGCACATGTCCATCCCGCCACCGCTCGTTGTCGTTCAGCTTGTGCGTATCCAGTATAAAGAATAATTGTCTTTCTGTGCATGATTTTAATGTTTTACCTACGTTTGTCATTTTACTTATATTGATTTGATTTATTGATTCAACATCATTTAATCAACATTTATTTAATATAGTTATATAATAATATAAAGTTATATAAAAAGTGGTTAATAAAGCCAAGTAACGCATACCAACAGCCGAGTACAATTTCTGATAGTGATTCTAATAAGCGGCCAATAGAATTTTTCATTAATAAGAAGAGAGACAGAAAAGGTACCAAAAAATGTATAGCTTCTATTTTTTCATATGAGATATCAAAATAATAACATGTATAGACATTAAGAAAATTAATAATATTAATTATTTATTTAAGTAATATTATTGTTTTACTAACAACTCACCCTCGCTTCGTTCGGGTTCGTCCCTAACTTGGTTCCCGATACAAACTTTCATTCCCATTTTCACCCCCTTAAAGGATAATTTTCGGGATAAAAAGACTAAAACTATCTTCTTATCAAATTTCATCTAAATCGGTTCAGTAGATCCAGATATTACCCCCTACAACGTCACAAGCTCACAAACTTTACCTCTTTATAATATACTAGCGACTCACCCTCGCTTCGCTCGGGTTCGTCCCAAGGTTGATTCCTCATACAATCTTTCATCCCCATTTTCACCCCCCTTAAGGGATGATTTCCATGATAAAAATCCTATGTCCATCCCAGGATCTCAAACTATCTTCTAACCAAATTTCATCTAAATCGGTTCAGTAGATCCAGAGATTACTCCCTACAACGTCACAAACTCACAGACTCACAATTCACTAACTTGACCTCTTTATTATATTAGTATAGACTAGCGTAGGTTGATTCCCCATACAAACTTTCATCCCCAGTTTCCCCCCCTTAAGGGATGATTTCCGGGATAAAAAGTATCCCATGTCTTTCTCAAGGTCTCAAACTATCTTCTTAGAAAATTTCATCTAAATCGGGTCACTAGATCCAGAGAGTACCCCCTACAACGTGACAAACTCACAAACTTTACCTCTTTATAATATTAGTATAGAAGTATGGATAAGTAATTTTAAAAGTTAAAATATTAAGCAACACTATTGCTACCTTTGTAAATAAAAAAATTAAATTACTGTTATTTTGATCCTCACAGTATGAACTAACTACTTCTAATGGTCTGTTTTGTTTATTTTCGTTGTTAGATTTTATTATGGTAATTACAGGATCCCGCGATGATGGTAGTACCCAACCATCTACCCTATTGAAGTTTGGATGTTTGTTAATTTTAATAGTTTCGTAAATCATCCTGAAGCAATAGTAGTCCACTATCGTGATAGAGTAAGATCCCGGTGCCCCCAGACGTTACTTATTTTCTCATAAGAAATATAAATGGGATAAAGTAGTGTTAGTACGTACTTCGGCCCTGCAGCCTGGGTCTTGAATAAGGCTGCGGTAACTCCTGCCTGTCGTAAGAGGCGACTAAACGGAGTCTCGGCGGGAAAGGCAAACCTCAGCAGATATGCTACTGGTGTTGGCGGACCCGGCGAAATAAAAGGCAAGGTGGATGGCCATGAGGGCGGCGGTAGTTAGCATAGCTGCTATCGTCGGCCAGACACATCATCCAAACCCTTCTCTAGTCGTAGCGGTCTCCCGTTCCATTAGATCAAGAAGGGGGAGGACGAGTGTGTGCGCCTGCGTCTGCGCGTACGCTTGTGCACCTAAATATCTCCTGCGCATTTGACCGTTTCCGAATACTGGACTCCGAGGACAAAAAGTCCTATGGCGATAGGACAAGGTAGAGAGGTCTGGTCTGATGCAAACCGGACTTTGTCCGAGTCCTGCACATAGGCGGCCCCAGGGGTGTTGTATTACACCGTGGTCGCTTTTGCACTGCAATTGGGAATGACAGTGTGAATTCGGCAGCACCTGGGATGACAAAGCAGCCCTATTTAGGGAGACACTGCTTTCCTCGCTCAGCCGAGGAGGGGGCTAGAAAAGGTGCCTTAAAAATTGTTCATTCCCATTCGAAAGGTGGTAGTAACCGCGGCTGCCATCGCATTCCCTTATACGCGGTCGAAAACTAAAAAATAAAAACAACATGCAAACATCTATCATGACGTTTGGTGCGTGGAACGTGAGGACACTGCTTGACCAAGATGGCAATGCTTGCCCTGAACGCAAAACTGCCATAGTAGCGCGGGAACTTCGTCGCTATAACGTAGATGTGGCTGCTCTCAGCGAAACACATCTTTCTGACGAAGGAGAGTTGATAGAAGATGGCGGCGGTTACACTTTCTTTTGGAAAGGTACCGCAGCGTCCGAACCAAGACGTTCTGGAGTTGGTTTTGCCATCAAAAACCATCTAGTCAAGCGACTCGGAGAGTACCCCTTGCATATCTCAGACCGCGTTACCACATTGCGCCTTCACCTGGACAAAGACAATTACCTTAATGTCATCAGTGTCTATGCACCTACACTAGACAAGTCTGATGACATCAAGGACAGGTTCTATGAAGAACTTTCCCACTGTCTAGACAGCATTCGCCCCCAAGAACAAATACTACTGTTGGGCGACTTTAATGCCAGAGTTGGACGAGACTATGAGACTTGGCCTAGAATCTTGGGCAGACACGGAGTTGGCAACATGAACCATAATGGTCAGTTGCTACTGAGTCTTTGTGCTCAATACCAACTTGCGGTTACGAACACTATGTTTAGACTTCCAGCTAAGCACAAGACTACGTGGATGCACCCGCGGTCTAAACACTGGCATCTTATCGACTATGCTGTCGTAAGACAAAGAGACATTAGTCAGGTCCAAATCACCCGCGTTATGCGTGGTGCCCATTGTTGGACTGACCACAGGCTAGTTGTCACTAAGCTGCGACTCCACCTGCATCGTCCTCGTCGATCCATAACAAAAAAGCCTTCTTTCATAAACGTGGATAGGCTGAAAGATCTTGAGGTAAGGCAAAAACTTGTCAACGCCTTGACTGGAAAGCTGTTGCCAGTTTCCAAAGAGGCCGGAAATGTCAATGCTGACTGGGGGACCTTATGTTCTCATCTGTTAGATGCCGCTATTCCCACCCTGGGCCTAAAAGACCGACACAGGGAAGATTGGTATGATGATAATAATGAGGTCCTCACGACAGCTATCAGCAAACACCGAGAGCTCTTGCGACAGCATGGACGGCGAGGTTTGGACATTGCTGTGATCAAAACAAGTGACCAGGAACTGCGTAAGCTGTCTCGTCAAGTCAAAGACAAGTGGTGGCAGGACAAAGCTTGTCGCATACAGTGGCTTGTAGACTCAAACCAGCTTGGGGAGTTTTATTGCGAGATTCGTAAGCTGATTGGTACTTCCTACAGAGTCAGAGTGCCTCTTAAGTCCTCGGACGGTGAGCGTCTCTTGACAAGTAAGGAGGACGTACTTAATCGTTGGGCAGAACACTTCAATAGATTGCTCAATGTAGATCGATCAGCCGATCTAAGTCATATCAGCTTATTGACTCAACTTCCTCTTGCTACCGAGCTAGGTGAGCCGTTGTCACGCGATGAAGTTGTTACTGCCATCAGACAGCAACAGAACAATCGGGCGGTTGGTATCGACTGTATACCGGGAGAGTTGCTGAAATATGGCGGTAAGGAATTGCATACGTTGGTGTGGGAGCACTTTGTTCGTATGTGGGAAGAGGAGAAAGTCCCGGATACTTTCAAAGTATCTAGCATAATTGCCCTCTATAAAAACAAAGGTGACCGTTCCCTTTGCGATTCCCATCGAGGTATTTCTCTTTTGTCGGCCCCCGGTAAGGTCTTTGCCAGAGTTCTTTTAAACCGCCTCAGGGGTCTGTCTGAAAGGATTCTACCGGAGACCCAGTTTGGCTTCCGTCCTGACCGAGGCACATGCGAGGCAATCTTTTCCGTTCGGCAACTGCAAGAAAAAAGCAGAGAACAAGGTCGTCATCTAAACCTCTGCTTTGTCGACTTGGAAAAAGCTTTCGATAGTGTGCCCCGGGAAGCCCTCTGGCTAGTGCTGCGAAAACTGGGGTGCTTGGACAAGTTTGTGAGACTTTTAAGACTCCTGCACGACGATATGCAGTGCTGCGTCGCTCTAGACGGTGAACAGTCGGAGTTTTTCCCCGTTACCTGTGGGGTAAAACAAGGGTGTGTTTTAGCACCCACGCTGTTCGCGTTGTACTTTGCAGTAGTAGTCCGGGAAGTTCTGCAAACTTCGGTTGAAGGTGTCCGCATCCGTTTTCGCACAAATGGTAGACTTTTCAATTTGGCTAGATTGAAAGCGTGTACCAAAGTGTCTTACGCCATGATCACAGAGATCATGTATGCCGATGACCTTTGCTTTTTAGCGGAAACCCCAGATGGACTTCAGCAGCTGATGTCGCGTTTTCATCAGGCTTGCTGCAAATTTGGCCTAAAGATTAATGTCAAAAAGACGGAGGTGATGTCCACAGACATGCATGGTCATGAGACATTGTCAATAAAGCTTGGTGAGGATGTGCTTCAGCAAGTTGATAAGTTCTGTTATTTGGGGAGCACTATAACATCTAAGTGTGACCTTGATGCTGAGATCAATAGCAGGATTCGTACTGCTGCAGCAGTGTTCGGAAAACTATGTTCCAAGGTCTTCCGCTCACACGACCTTAAACTAGCCACTAAGGTATCTGTCTACATGGCGATAGTGCTGCCAAACCTTCTATATTCCTCTGAGACGTGGTGCGTGTACCGTCACCACATTCGCACACTACACAGGTTCCATCTTAAATGCCTGCGCAGTATCATGAAGATCAGCTGGTCTGATCGAGTGCGAAATACCGAAGTTCTGCGTCGAGCCAATGTCGGTGGCATTGAGACATACTTAATGCGTCGCCAGCTTCGGTGGTGCGGACACGTCTCGCGAATGTCGGAGGATCGAGTGGCGAAGCGCATCTTTTATTCAGAACTGCAGGAGGGTAAGCGAAAACCAGGCGGCCAACTCCTCAGATACAAAGATGTTCTGAAGCGGCATATGAAAAGATGCAACATTGAACCCTCGAAGTGGGAAGGTTTGGCGGCACAGCGCCCTGAATGGCGTAGCCTTGTTCTGAGGCAGGTTCGCGTCTTCGAGGATCAGCGCAAAACTGACCTCGATGCTAAGCGCGATGACTTAAAGGCTCGACCACCTGCAGCCATTCAGTATAATTATGTTGATGGTAAACTCACGTGCGCCTGGTGCGCACGGGAGTTTAATAAGAAGATCGGCTACATTAGCCACCTTCGCGCGCATCAGCGCCGGGACAACTAGGAGTTGAAGTGGTCGCCAAGACCGAAAACGGTCGGAACAAACACACACACACACACACAGTACGTACTTTGAGTGTGTGCATACCTGCTACCTTGGGTCGACGGCCAATTCATAGGTACCAGGTGCTAAAGGTAGATAAATACAGTACTGATTTTTCTTAAATTCTCAGTGCTGATTTTTACATATGTTTTAGATATTGTTGTTAAAAATTAATAATCATTATTGCCAGACACTTTCCATCGGCGCTTACCCTTACCAGACGCTTTAAAGCTTCAAAAAAAAAATAACATATTCTTACTTATAATCTCACTCTTGATTTTTATGTATGATACTTGGGGAACTATTTGAACACCCCTGGTCAGCAGCCAGACCAATTGGAGGGGTCAAACATCCCCCCAGACACACATAAAGTGTCGCTATGTGTATAAGCGCGAGGTCATTATTTGTACGCTTGAGTGTGAGAGAGATATCTATTTATGGATATCTTTCTTATACTTATTGACGTCTCTAGGCTACTCTATTCAGTGCTACTTGATTCAGTGCATCTGTCATTTTATTTACAACGTGTTGAAATAAAAAAAAAATATTTATAGTATTCTAAAAAATATAATGGCAGAATTATTAAAGTGTGTGTTTTGTGAGAATTCCGATGTGAATTTAATATTGTTTACGGAAGAAAACTCGGCGATGTAGACTTATTCAGTGACTTAGAACTGGAGCAAAATGTGTTCAACACTATACAAAAATTTATTTGTGAACTGTACAACGTGGCCGGAATAATTGACGTAGATGCTGCCCGACTCCAACTCTTCATCAACACTTATATGGTTTGTGACGTAAATGAAGAGTTCAATCGTAAAAATGTGAAAAACTTTGATGCTAGTAACTTACCACCATGCAAAAGTGAGCTTTCACAGCAGTTTCGACGAGCTAATTATATCACTAGTCTCTGGAAGAATGCTCATATGAAGAAAATTAGTATTTTTAGTCCTGACAATAATGGGTGGACGTTGAAAGATAATAAATATCATTTTAACTGGTTCGATGGGAACCAATTGCCGAGCTTTGTCATTGAATCGCTTCAAGAAGAATCAGGTATTATACTTTAAATTTGAATAATTGATATAACCGTATAACTCTTTGATTCTTAATTATGTTATTTTTGTTACAGAAAATGAAAGTAATATGGATGATAATGAAGATAGTCAATGCCAACATTGGGTTGATAATGACTTATCAAACTTAGACGATGATGACAGTAAAGATCACGCTAAATGTTCAAACTACAAATAATCCGAAAGAAGAAAGACATGTATAGCTTTGTATAATTTTAAGATTTAATAAACATGAATTTTTTAAATAGTAGTATTCAATTTAACTCGATGATAAGATGTAAAACATAGGTTAAAGAAACTTATATTTATTATTTATAAAATTTTCTCCACCCAGATCACTTTAAAATACCTTGTAATCTTCAGGTTCGATTCCATTTTGTATGTAGCGAATCTTTAATCTCTCTTTATTATATCGAACAGAGCAGAATTTTAGCGACACTTTATGTGTGTCTGGGGGGATGTTTGACCCCTCCAATCGGTCTGGCTGCTGACCAGGGGTATTCAAATAGTTCCCCAAGTATCATACATAAAAATCAAGAAAGAGATTATAAGTAAGAATATGTTATTTTTTTTGAAGCTTTAAAGCGTCTGGTAAGGGTAAGCGCCGATGGAAAGTGTCTGGCAATAATGATTATTAATTTTTAACAACAATATCTAAAACATATGTAAAAATCAGCACTGAGAATTTAAGAAAAATCAGTACTGTATTTATCTACCTTTAGCACCTGGTACCTATAAATTGGCCGTCGACCCAAGGTAGCAGGTATGCACACACTCAAAGTACGTACTAACACTACTTTATCCCATTTATATTTCTTATGAGAAAATAAGTAACGTCTGGGGGCACCGGGATCTTGGACTATGAGCATTTATGAACTATCAAAACGAATGTAGTGGCTTGGGCGATCCTGACTATGTTTACAGGCCGCAAACGCTGTATTACGATGGTGCTTCACATCAGATATGTATTCTTTAACCGGAGTTCTAATAGATCTCTTTATTTGCCTAATGTAGGAGAACCTATAATCACAATCAAGCTTATATACTCCTGAATGGCACTGACGATGTAGTACTTGACTGGTGGTAAGAACTAAGTAATTTTCTTTGGCGACTTAAAGTAAGTTTTATTAAAACTATTTAATTTTCTTTATGGTTAAATATAATAATAGCAACACTTAATAATATTTTTAATCAATAGATTCAAATATCGACTCGCTAATTGAATTGACATGTGACACAGTACTCAAGGTTATATACGAGAGAAAACTGACTTTTATAGACTTTTGGTTGTGTTGTCGTCAAGAGTACCAACTTTTAGCAGATCAAGCGACAAAATGTTTAATGCTCTTTGTCACGACCTATGTATAAATGTGAAGCAGGGTATTCAACACCAGTATGCCTAAAAATACATATAGAAACCGATTGGAAGTCGAAGCAGACCTAAGAATAGAGTTAAAGTCCTTTCAGACAAACTTAGAGTTCATAGTTAAAAACAAATAGCTTCATACTTTTCACAAAAATTTAATATAATTCTGATATTATTATTGAATTATTATTTATTTTACCTTAATACACATATCCTATTTGGACATCCAAATGTGCTTTTAATTTTCCCTACCTGTACTAGACGGATTAAAAATCTTTTGGTGGGTCACTATGGGAAAATATAAAAAGACCAGACCAGAGCACTAAAAATGTTTGTGAAATGCTAAACCGGTCAATACAAATATGATAATATGAACTATAAATAATATTCCTTCATTTTATATAGATTCTCTCTACTCACGTTTTTAGAGTAAGTGAAGACATATCTTGATTAGTCAAAGATATGTCGTGCTCATAATGCAAATATGCTCGTATTGCCTCGGAATTAGCTAAATCTATACCCAAATCTTTTAATGTATTCTTCTCAGGAGTCTTATCTTCTATATTAATACCTGTGGATAAATTGTAATATGCAAATTAACAGTTACAGTATTAGTGCCATTAGTTAAGATTCTCGAGTTCTCCACCACTGAACTAAGGAGGACAATTTATTTGCATGGAATTATAAAAATAGTATGGTATCTTATATAGCGACATAAAAGCTGATTTTTTAAATAGTCTTTTGGAACTATAGTTATTTTAGAAGATATTACTGTGGAAAATTTGATCATGTTATCTTATAAAGCAATTGTAATTTTGTTATGTCCTATGACACAAAGTAGCAGAGGATATTTTATGTAAATAAGACGTTTTGTTTTATAACATGTTTTAAATATACAAATTGACGACTTACCCTCCATTTGTCTTCTGTTTTCACTTCATGTCCATAGCCTGTACTTATGTCCACTTAATTTTATTTAAATCAAGCTGTTTCAGCGTCATGGAGTAACAAACATACACATACATACATACCAACTTTCGTATTTATAATAGTAGTCTGATAATTGAAAGATATAAAAATATTCGATGTTTAATCAATGATTTTGATAGAACATTTACCTGCCATTTTGGAAATTGCTTGCATTAAAGGAACATGTGGTAGTGTTACTTTTGAAGCGATTACAACTGACTGTTTAGAACACAGCGCTTTTTCCACAACATCAACAGCAGTTAAAGATGATATTGATTCTTCTGAAGAATAACTTTTTTCCCATTCATCCAGCTGCAAAAAATAAGTTTCCGATTTGTAAGAGAAGAGAGTTATTTGTTTAAGTATGCTTTGTTTTCTCGAAATCTAATGGAAGAGAAATGGTCAAAATTTTGATACTTGTTGGTTATTTGGGTCAAATTCGATTCATTCTTGATATATTGCTTTCTTTAAGTATTAGCGATAAAAAATAATAAAATTCAAGCTCATAATATAAAACATCTCAATTCTTGTATACAAATAGCTGTACCTTGTCCAGTAACGGCAAATTAACCCAGACAAGTAATGGTTCTCGACTTCTACCCACATCGATCTGCTCATTGATGTTGAAGTTGGAATTAATTATTGCAAAGTGTCTGAAAATGTACCAATTATTAAATATTGGTAACTAAATTTAGTAAAACGTATTTTTGTGTTTTTTCTGCGTCTAATCAAAGTTAACCGATTTCAATGGATTTGGATTCAGTTCTCAAATAAAATAGTTGGTTCTCAATCTTTAAGTAGTTAGATTATTTAAAATTTTCATACCAACATTACAATGGTATAGTATTATCCATTGTAAGTTGATATTTGTTGTAACTTTTTCACACTTGAACCGCTGAATAGATTTGAATGCTTGACAAGGAAGTATTATATCAAATCAAAAAGCATTTATGAATAGAATCGTCAATTTTATATTTTTAAATTTAATTTATAGCAGTATGTAAGTTCGTGAGGAATCTACCACCGGCTCGGAAGGCAGTTCTGCTGAGAATAGCCGACGAGAAACTCAATAGTTGTTTTTTTTTAAATAATATTAATTTACAATATTGCCATACAATACTTATGTTATGTTCTTGTCCTAAGTGAATATCAACTTATACCCAATGTATAATCGGGATGGATATAGGCTAATTTTTATCCCTGCCTTGCTCACCATGATGGCGCAACAGCGAGCAAATATTTGTATTCGGATAAACTTACTTTAGCTTTGGAATCATTTTTTTAACTTTTAAAATTATTTCTTCTGACTTATCGATTTCTTCCTTTTGAGAAATTATGTCATACAAATATAATCCTTCTATAGCTCTATTAATATTGCCCTTGATCAAATCAACTAAGTTGGCTTGATTTAGATTTTCTTGTGATACCTTGATATTTACTCCATCTTCTTGCCAAGATCTGAAACAAATCGGAATAATCTGTTCTATCTGTCTGTTTTATCTAGTTTATCGGTTAAACCAACTCTGTCCTCTCTCTTAAAGACTATTATTTGAATTCCAAAACAAAACCCACAAAAATACATAAAAAACCTGCCCATTTATGAACGCACGTAGATCAACTAAGTAAAACGTGCGTTCACATTTTCTTTTTACAGAGAAATCTACGGCAAGAGAGTCTATCTGCACGTCGCGTCGTTGCGGTTGAATTCAGATAATTTTTATTAAAGTATACTGTGAAGTTGTATACAGAATATATTTAGTAATAATGAGTGTGTACATCACTGATAACTGGTAACCTAACAATTTACAGATATATAAATGAAAGTAGTTTAAAAATCAAGAATCAAGAATCAAAAGCACTTAAAACTTAAAACGAATTACATTATCTTGGAGTTATTATTGTATAATATGTACCTTTGCTTAAATAGCAGTATATTAGATATTTTTTCACAGTATAGATATATGTTTCGTGCACCGCGGTTTGCAAGTCTCTCCGCTAACTGAATGCCTAACTCTTCATTTTTAGACAGGATCACTTGACACATATCAGAAGCACATCTTAATCTGAAACAGTTTATTGATAGCTTCATGCTATATTTTATAAAGGAAAAGCGGTAAATCATTTTTAGTAAAAAATAATTTCCTAAATGTTTTTAATACCTAAACGTAATAAAAAAAATACGTTTTTTATAAAGTTAAATATTCGCGTAATACTAAAAGGTATTAAAATATCAGTTCGTTATAATTTACAGTAAACCGTGTTATTCATAATTTTAAAAATGTCCATAATTTTTTTCAATATGACTTATAATCAAAAATTCAAAATGCAACAAATTTATTTAATAAAAATTAAAAAAAAATAATAAGTACAAACCGACTTCCAGGCACTAAAATGTAACAAATAACTAAGCAGCGGTTTTCATTTGGAATAGATATCTAATCAGATATTTTCGAAGTTGGTGCCAGCCTATGCAAAAAAAATCTAATATATACATAAAATACACACAAATTGATGTACATATTTTAACTATAATTAGAGTTCATACCTAATCATATTTATCTATAAGATATACGTAGATATAGATCTTAAACATATTAACACATAACAGATATAGATCTTAAAGATAAATCTTAACATATTGTCGGCAAGCACCTACTACGAAAATATCTGATTAGGTATCTATTCTAAATGAAAACCCCCGTTTAGTTATTTTTTACATTTTAATGACTGGAAGTCGGTTTTTTTTAATTTTTTATTTTTCCATTTTTAGTGCAAACGTAATAAGCAGGTAATTTGTAAGAAGAACTTTTTAAATAAAATATTCGATTAAGCAATTTATTTAAAAAGGAATTAATTATTGATTTTTTTAAAAATCGCTCTACCAATTTTGATAAAACTTAAATTGTACCACATGGGAAGTATACCCTTCGAAACAAAAAAAATATATTTCCAAATCGGTTCAGGCGTCTTCGAATAATCGGTGAACATACATAAAAAACTTTCCGACGAATTGAGAACCTCCTCCTTTTTGGAAGTCGGTTAAAAAGAAAGAAACGTAAGCGGACCACTGTTTGGTTTCACTTACGGCCCGTTCATACTTATCGCATGTCGGGCACGACAAAATGTCGGGTGCTCTAGTGGCTGAACATTTTCTACTACTAAGTTGTTCACATTTATACTACAACAGGTTTTTGTCCGCTCCAAGGATTGTCGGGTGTTTTGCCAGCCCCGCACCTCCATAAAAAATCGAGTCGGATCTCGCTCGCTTATGAGTAGGTACGAGCTGTTCACATTTGTCGCCTGGCGGGCGCGGCAACCCTCTCCCCGCTTCCTCTTGTTCCGCCCGTCGCTACGCGGCTAGCGTAGATCACGTACACAGAACACAAATCACGGCGCGCACGCAGAGTTGCCAATTGATCGTTAAATGTAGTTATTGACATACTAAAATAATGTCGCGTAATGGAGAGTGTGTAACGTCATTACACAAAAAATAATTAAAAAAGACACGTCTGAAGCATGTTTTATGCATCCTAAGACAGGTGTCAAAACATTTCGAGAGAGGCATCGAAATTACTAGAAGTTTCGAGATTTAGACAAGAACAGTTAATCGTAAATTGCCGTGTTGAGAGTAAGAGAGGAACCAAACATTCGAGAAAGACATCGAAATTACCAGAAGCTTTGAATTTAGACAAGAACGGTTAATTGTAAATTAAGAGAGCTGTGTGTAAGATTGAGAGAGGAATAAAACATACGAAATGACTAGAAAGGTGTCGAATTTTCAAATATTAGAATGTTCTTTGTTTATGCATATTAAAAGGCCGACAGTGTGTCGAGAGATCACTTGAATTTCAAAGTTAAGTGAAGATTGCGAAGAAGTTCGAAAAAAGTGAAAAGTAAAGTTAAGTGAAGTTATACTCGAAGTGAAAAATAGTGTCGAATGGTGAAAATGAGTGTCCAGAGAATGAGTTTAACCTGGACTGTGTATATTCTGCGTGTGTTAGTGAATCTAAATAAGTCAGTCAGCTAATCAAGAGTAATAAAACATCGTTAGTGCAAGAGACGTGTTTAATTTCCGATCCCCGAAGTCATAGAACGTAACAATAATTAAAATGTTCCCAAAGTAAATCTTTCCCTCAGGATTGGGTGAATCCAAAATCTTCATTTCTTGGCTGTTGTTATTTATTTTCTTCTCGAATAATAATACATCACAACAAAAGTTTCATCGAGATATAGAGTGTCAATAATTGGGTCCAGCGTCATCGGATCCGACACCCGGCTAGTGTCAACAGATGATCCGACATCAAATTAAAATACGGATCCAACACCCGAAAAGTACGAACGGGGTCTGACGCTGATATATGAACGCAAACGATAAAAGTGTATACTGATTTCGTGGTCAAAATGGATATAGATTGTAATTGATTAAAGTTTATACATACTATATGGATTATTGCAATGCAAATTGTACATATTTTTATAATTTGCATTGCAATAATCCATACAAAGTGTAATAACGCAGATTAAAAAATAAAATGAATTTATTCAACTACAAAATATTGAGATCACCGAAGATGGAATATTTACCTTGGAACTGGAATGTTTACACCATGATGCCGTACATCAAGTAACACTCGACCGCGGTGGCGTCTGGCAACTAGAATTCGGAAAGCTCTCGGAGCCTCTTGTGGCATGAACGTTAGGCGTGATAATGGTCTAACGTAACCACGTGCTATACCCTCACAGACCAATGCTTGCAATTCCTAAATATTTCACAAAAGTATATCAAAACCGTTTTATAAATAAATACCAGGTTTTTAAAATTATATTATGAATTATAAATTAGATTAAATTAGTATACGATAAAGTATAGTCTTAAATTATTGAAAAAAACTTTAGTTATGGTAAAATGGTTTTAACAAGTAGATAATTATATACGTGTTTAAATTATGTGACGCTATTTACTCACCAATAGTTGTTCTGGATTTGTAAAGATTGTAGAGAAGTTGATCCTTGCATAAGAACGACATTTCGTTAGATTATACATTCCAAAGTTAAAATCTTCACGGCTCAGTAATTGTGTTGTATCGAGAGTTATACCCGACGTGGCACAGCATTTTAACGTAGTCTAGAGGCAATTACACAATTTTATTTCATTTCCATGTAAAATTTAATTTTAAGCTAAGTCAAAATTGACGTACATTTTTAAGTTCTCCCTGGACGCAGCTTACGATAACGTCGCAACCCTCACCTCCGGTAGCCCCGAGAACCATGTCTCCGAAGCTGTGGTCGCAGGAGTTTCCGATATGATCATCTACAATGTTATGAAAATAAATCTGAGATCAGATCGAGATTTCTTGGCACTTGAGGAGTGTATGAAAATTCTTCATAATATTAGATATACATATTTAATATTATGAATTAAGTAAATGTAAATATTTAAATATTGCGTGAGAAATCAAATAATATAATTTCGCAGATATATTTTTACCTTGCAGTTGAGGAAATAGTTTTTGCAGGAAATGTATCTTGCGTATGTCGCTAACTGTAGCAAAGACCTTGCAATGGAAAGCTAAGGCAATAGATATTAAAGCCTGACCTAGAGCGCCGGCACCGCCATGGATAAGTACACGTCGTCCGGGAATAAGCTGGGTTTTTATCATCTGTAAAATAGTATAAATATGCACAATTAAATTACGCTATGTCAGAACACAGAAACTCATGAACACAGGAATACGTTTTACTTTAGTGAGATTCTTTGGCAAGGGTATAAAAAATGAAGATATTTTTGTGATGGGGCTTGTGATGGGGTCAAGAAACAAGGAAAAGCTAACCAACAAAGACAAATTATACAAAGGTGAAAAATATATGTAAAATATTCCTTACCAAGCAGTAGAAAGCGATACAGTAAGCCAAAGGCACAGTGGCAGCGTCTTCAAGACTCCAGTGATCTGGAACTGGCCACAATAATTCCGGTTGCGCTTTAACTTGTGTGCTTATTACTTGATCAGGAACTATACCCATTACACGATTTCCCCTATTTATTTTAATGCATTTAATTATTAATTTATGATCAGTATACTTAGAATATTTTAAAATGTTAAAGAAAAAATTGTACATACGCTTCAGTTATACCGCTGAAGTCTACTTTAAAGGCTCGCTGCCCATCGGTGTTGTACGAATTAATGATTCCAGCTTCTTCCTTTAAATACACTAGATTAATGCCAGCATAGTGAACCTGAAAAAAAGCAACGACCGCTCTATTCATCAGTTTCGTTTCCTATTCGATCGGATATAATCATCAATCAAGTAAACCTAAATGAACTCTTTGCGAAAATCACATCCGCTTAAAAGGGCAAATAGATGACAACATGGCTAAATTTAAAGGTCAGTATATGTTTTCATTTACATTAACATACTTACATCTACATTAATACCGCTATCATATTTTTGTGGTGCCTCAATCCAATATATCGAGTCGAAATCACCAGCTCGGGCGCATTTCAACATAATATTATGTTTTGGCGTGGAGGTCTCTTCCAATGGCAAAATATATTCTCCTCCCCAGACACCCTAAGCAAATCATACTTTACAATTAGTAAACTAGGTAATATTTATAATAATTAATATATTACTGAGATTGTAGTTAAATGTCACGGAAATTATACGAAAAGGTTAATTTTACAATTAATATAGTAAGTAACTTACATTTTTGTAAATGTTGGTCACTAAATCTTTGAACAGTATTTCATTTAAAAGTTTATCATCCCATTCATCTTGATGTATTAAAGTCAAATATACTTTTCTTTCATTTCTCCATTCTTTAATCAGGGATTTCAATCCTTTAACAAGTGGGTAACTGGCTAGTAAATAAACTTTTTGACTCAAAGGAATAGTCGATATCAAAGATGATACATATGATAAATCTGATGGTGAACGAACCGTGTATACACTAGAGCCATTAGAATCTTTAGGTTTCCATATAGCTAATTCTATACGGTTATAATTATTAATAATATGTGCATTTACACTGCGATACAACATCGAAGGGCATCTGTTGAATTTTCCTTCTATGTCTAGTTCTTTATTAACCAAAAGACTATCGCATTTTAATATGCGCTGTAGCATTTGATCCATCTGCAGAAGAGATAAGAACATAATATTATGTGAAATAATTTAAGCAAATATTAGTATAAATAAGTATATGTATATATTTTTTCAAACAATATCCTTATAAGTAGTCAATACATTTATTAGAATATAGCTATATTAATATAGTCTATATCTATTATAATAAAATAATAAACCAATTAAGCTTACGTATTTATCAGAAGATAAGTTTGTGGTTAATAATAGGTCAGTGCTATTTATCTTTTCACCATCTTCTAAAATTTTGTCTCTGTAAACAAAAGAGTGTTGTGTCCTAATTCCAGAGATGTTGTTAGAAATACCTCTGATCGCCTCAAAGTTAGATTTAGCAGTTTCGTCTCTCAGGATTTCAACAACGTTAATGAATTGTTTATTTAAATTCTCAGCGGCTATTTGTAAAAATATGTATGATGCTGTTAGTTCCTGTAAAGATAAAATAGCATGTGAGTATATAGTAATACTTAAGGTTCTTACAAAACTCCTTTAAATCCAGCAATATTAATGAAAAATACAGTTATTTTAAAATATTCTTTTCTATATTTTGGGTCTCAATATTACATACACAATATAAAAATACTTACGTCTGAATTGTTTGTTGGGAAATGAGGTACAAATTTTTTAGTTTTTAGGGAAACGACGTTTTTATTCAACGGTGGCAAATTTTTATATTTTATATGTTCTATAATCACACCGCCGCATCTAAAATGTAAAAATCAAGCGTCAATAAGGTTTTTGTAATGACATAATATGTAGGTTACCTATTTCTTATAAAGATTGCTTAATTTTTTTTGAAGTATCCTCATATAAATTAATGAAAAACTCATAGATATGTAGAATATAAACTAATGCAACGCTTACTTTATACAACCTTGTGTTTTTAATATATTGGCGATCAAAATGTTTTGTTCATCAGCGTTTGATATATTATTGAAATGGTTCTCTACATCGATCGTCAGTTTGCTGAAAGCTTCTGGCATACAGATCATCTTATGATTACAGCTGAGCGCGCTTAGTTGAAGCATGCCGTCAATAAATGTAATCCAATTATTTTGCCATTTTATTTGAGCTTCAGTTAAAGAAAAATTAGAGCTGTATATACTGCGGAAATCATGTCTGAAAATATTACGTGAAAAGCATATTAAATGTAAATCATTGGTATATTGACAGTGTTCCAATATTTGTTAAATGATGGTGGTGATAGATCTTGGTTCCTTGATTTTATATTTGGCACTTTCCAAAAGGCAAGGTGTTCTTTGGAGATGTGCCATGTTTGTTCCTTTGGTATATAACATGGCAATAATAATAATTATGAATTATAGTTCTATATATAAAACTTACGTGTAATTGTAGCCTCGTGTATGGAGCAATTCATATATATCTTTGGAACAAAGCTGGGTACTGTCATAACATTTAGAATTTACTTCTAATATTCTGTTATTGCTTATATCAGCAGTAATATAACCAGATATAATTTTAATGTTTTCAGCCATTACCTATAAAATGAAATGTACTTTAATCATTTTTTTGTAACTGGAATTGTAAAATGTGATAAAATTATATTATATATAGCGAGAAAACATCAGCCTAATTAATGAATTTTTATACTAAGCCTCTTCTTTCCTACAGCCCTACTCTCTATCCCGCAGGACGAAGTTTAATATTGCCAAAAACTTTATTCACTTAGAAGTAAAATTATACTAGTTGTACACACATAGGGGTGATCCCCTATGTGTGTTCACCTTGTTGCTCATTAATATTCAGCCGGCCAAGAATTGAACAAGGAGGTGGCGTACCTCAGTGGGCAATGTTCCGTACGGGTTGCTCCTGATACTTTTCTAACAGCAAAGTGTACCATAGGAATAAGTCCATGGTTGGTGTGGTGGGTTGAGGGCGCAAGCAATTTTACAACGGTCTAATAAAATGGGGGAGGGCTCAAAATATAACTAAACTTAGTTCATAATTTGAATTTCTAATTTTAGGGGTTGGGACTGGGCGATGGTTAATTAGTAAGACGGTTTAATACATATATTTATATTAAGTAGATAACTGTAATGTTTTAATTACTTCAAATCGTCCAGTGCCTCGTTGGATGGTGATGTTAATTCTGAGTTGTCGTTGGTCGTGCAGTAATGGTTGCGAGTGAAAAAGTACATCGCGGAATTGAACTGATAGTTTCTTCCTCTCTACCATCAATGTCATTGCAAATGTATCCCATACCAATACCAACGCAGCAGCGAATGGAAAGAGATTTTTACCTAAAATGATTAATGTAAATAAAAATTATAAATTTGAAGACTTACTCGTATATTTGCTTCGCATAACAGACAAAAAAAATAAAGTGACAATGGTAGCAAATTTTAACAAAGATAATAATTAAGTGTATGTAGAGAATATAGCGTCCTAAGCTAATAACAATCGAACCTTTTTTTCTTTTTTTTTTTTTTTATAGTTGGGAAATCCTATTACGGATACCACCCGACTTCCCTCCCAGGGTGGTTATGTGGAGACTCTCCGGCTAATGAGACCGGCATACCCACTAAAACCCAACTTTCCCCACAGCCGCCATGTGGGACGCCACGGGACCGCTTTCGCATACAACCGTGACGCCCCGACGGTTGGCCGAAGCCACCAACCATGAGGCCGCCCCAAGCGGGACGACCCCATTATGGGAAGACTTGCAACCCTGAGACGTGAGACTGCTCCCAAGTCTACTCTGCTGAACAGAGAAGTACCCGGAGCAGCCCCACACAACCAAACACCGCCCACCGAAGTGGGCAACCTGCAAAAACAAGCGGCCTAAGCCTAAACCTTCCTGCCCAAATTGGGCAAACCTCCACGGCGTCCGAAACCGAACCACCCCAAACGGCTGCAGGAGTAGAGGATGCGACAACGCCGACACTCCCCTTCCCCTACAGCCCCACCGCGTCCACCATCAACGGTGGTGGCCCCGCTAGGCCGCGGGAGATAGGGACGAGCGGCGCATCGCCATACCGACACTCCTCTTCCCCCGCGGCCCCCCTACCGTCGGCCCACCGCCGGACCAAAATGGCTGCCGACACCCACGCCAGACGCAGGACCACCGAACTGGCCCCGCTCCAGCCGCCGCACCGACAGGCTAGCCCCGGCAGCACAGCCCGCGCAGCGCCTCCTACCGCGAAACGGCCGGAGACACCGCGCTACCTCCAAGAAGGAGACGGCGCCCTCCTGACACCGCTCCCCCTGCCCCTCCTGGCTGTTGGTCCGCGCCGGATTGCTCCGGCACCACAAGCTGCTGTCTGGGGGAACAGTCGCGAGTGGCTTTCGCCTATCCGCCACCCGGGGGACGCGTCCGGTAGCAGTCAGCCTCTGCCCCGGAATTAACAATCGAACCTGCCTTAACTTGGCCCTTAAAAAAGTTATACCAATTTCAGTGTCATTGGTTAGGACTACAATTTATAGCAGTAACAACAAATTTTTGGAGTGATTAATTGTAATTTACATTAAAATTTGAATCTGTCCTTTCAATTATTATTTAAGTATCCTGTAAGAAGGTATAATAGTAGAAATAGAATAAAAACAATGTAATGTGTCAATTTCATCCTGACTTAGTGGTTAAAACTTCAATGGGAAACAAATCTTTTGCAAAATGATATTAATATTCTTAACTCTTACCTCTTATTATATTTCCTCGTAAATAGCTGTAATCATCGTCATGCGTTGATATAACATATTTACAAGCTGACGCCATTTTCTTTTGTACAGATGCGAATAAGGATAAAGTCCTGTAAATATCAATTTTTGTATTTCTCATCATGTTTCTTACTAGCGACTTCCCCTCGCTTCACTCGAGTGGGTATGGCTTAAAAAAGTATAAAAGATAAACGTCTTTGGACTTTTTTTTGCGGCCAGGAACCTTCGCAAGCGTATACGCCAGTGTTTCATTACAATGGTTTAGAAAAACAGAGGACAAACATAAGAAAATTCGATTTTATTAATATAGACATATTAGAGGTCATTTACTTATCATTAACTTAGTATCTTTAAGTGGCTTAAAACCTAGTGTCTAGTTTTCTTTCAGTTATAGCCTCCGAATATATAATGTAGAACATTTACCTTCTTACAATATCATTATAGCTAGAATATCAAATTTCTATATTTTACTTAATATTATAAAGCTTTTTGATAGTAATAAATACTATCTCTATTGCTTTTCACTACACACAAGCATTCATAGACTAGGTACAGAAAGAGAGAATCTAATATACACGCCTGCGCCGTCGCACGTACCCTCTAGAATTTTCAACCGACTTCAACAAGGAGGAGGTTCTTTGGATAAGTAATTAAACCTATTAAATACATACCTAATCAAATATTTTCAAAATCGGTGCCAGCCCATACAAAGCAAAGCATACCGACTTCGAAAATATTTTATTAGGTATGTATAGTAAATGAAAACTAACAATCAGTTATTTTTTACTTTTGAGTGCTTTTGTTTGAAGTCGATTTTTATTTTTTTGCCAAAAAGTTTTTATATAAACAAAGGATGCACCGCTCACGCCACCGAGAGCGTCATTTAATTCCCCCCACTCTCCCCACTACGCAACGCTACGTGTATAAAAGAGACGGAGAGACCGCCGCTAACGCAGTCTTGGTACTGGCGTGACACGCTGCACGTGTTGTACTAGCTAGCTTATCCTTGACTCTGGATAGTTAATTTGTGACTAAATTAATTGTTATTCTCAACTACAAATAGTCTTTGTACAATTTATAGTTGATTAAACTAAACCTATGTAATTAGTCATATCTTTCATTAATCATGTTTGTCCTACTTCCTATACATATGTATACGTAGCATGTACCAGATAGCTGTTATAATATGGTTTTAAAGATTTACACTTGCTATGCTCAAGTTCTTTAACGTCGGATGAATTTGCATGGAATTTTAAAACATGAAATTTAACTGGATGGAATTTGAACAAAGAATGTGTGTTAACACATACACACAGACAAACTTTCGCATTATTATAATAGTCCGATTAACGTAAATATATAGTGTTATAGCTCACACTTTTAGTACCATTTTCTAGCTGCAAAGAAAAGTAATAAGTTGTTTGGGAAAAAAAATTAACCCTAGTAGAAATCCTAATAATTCAGAACAATACCAAAGGTGCATGCATATATTAGCAATGTTTATAGTATTTTGAAGTGAATTCTTGTAATCCGTACCATTCTTCCTGATGAGCCCATTCTACTAGATGCGAGAGTGGCCGAGTTCCTGTAGATACTGGAAATTCTATTTTAGGATAGAGCGCTCGAATTTTTACGTTAAAACCATCCATGTAGAGTCTGTAAAAGTATTTTTGTAGATAGTGAATTTAAAACACGTTTGATTTAATCGATAATACTGTGCATAGAAAAATTACGATATAGTGCACAAAACCAGCTTGAATTGGGCAATACTTCGGTAGCAAAGTTGATGACTTCGCATAATCAATATTATATTCCAATTTTTATCATCATTATAAGTTATAATATTTACTCTCCAACAGCTTGAAGAAAGAATTGCACAGCGTTTGGATATCCTCTACGTGTTAGAGGCACGTGGTGGCAGGAGGGAAAAGATTTTTTAAGAATGGCCTGCAGAAGTCCGTGCGGCGCAATCTCTATCAACACTGCATTAGACGGAATCAAGCGTGATGCCTCCTCAAAGAGAACGGGGCTCTGTAATGCAATTCTCACTTAATATCATTAGAATACCTAAAATATTAAATAAGACATAACGAATAACATTTATAAAACTTATAAAGTAATTTAGTAAGAAATCTTAAAATGCTATGAACTTTTTCTATATGTATAATAATTGTTGCTTAGTCGCCAACAGTATATTATTTTTACGTTTATATAGAATATTAAAAACAAAACTTACAAGTAAATTATTCATATGGTATTCAGCTGAAGAATATTTGGCTAATGGCTCATCCCATCTATTTATAGGTACTGAAGAAGATACCCAACGTTTGCTACGAGGTTTTGGGGATTTGATTACTTTTCTCAAAATTTCAAGAAGTCTAGGACCTGTTATTTTAAATTATTAACTTAAGTTGCTTAATTATTTATTTACATTTCCAAAATAGCTTGATTTGATTAATTAATTAAGCCAACATGGATAAAAGCTTATGTTATAAATTTTAATTACTTATTATAGTAGTGCATATTCTATATTACCTAATACATAATTTCGTATGTCCAAAAATCTTAACTTTTTGGTATGTTAAGCTCTATAATCGTATACTTACCCGCTTCAGCAATATAACGAGAATGATATGCAATATTTGAACAGGGTACTTCTTTAGCGAAGACACCTTTACTAACTAAAACCTTGACGAATTCGTGTATCATTTCAGCAGGACCCGAAATAGTACAAGATTCAGAGCTGTTATGGCAAGCCACCTCGATCTCGGGGGGGCACAGTTTGACGATCTACAAAAAGAAAAAATACTTAATTGATTGTTCATTTAATAAAAATTCATATAAAATTTCTGTAAAGGCACCATTTGAAAGAAAACAATATTTTTGGACTATAGATGTTGATAATTTCGGACCTGTTCATATCCGAGGCCAACCGCAGCCATGGCTCCATGTATGAGAGGTGTCTCTAAGGACACCTTACCGCGGCTGCTAGCTGCTAAAATCATCTCCTCCGCGGTAAAGCAACCATCTGCATACGCGCAACCTAACTCACCCACGCTGTGACCTAAAAAATGTTTGTGTGTTGAAAAAGCTATGAATATATGTATGAAACTCAATTAATTTTACTTAACCTAACTAGTAAAAAATAATATTTAAAAAATATCTTTGTTTTCAACAAAATTATAAATAGAAAAAAGTTATTAATTTCTATTTATTTATTATATTAAATAATTTATATCCATAATATACAAAAATCATACAAAACATACCAATAATCTTGTCAGGTTTAATGCCTAATTCTTTCAAAACATCAGTCAGACCAATTTGCACAGCAGCAATTCCAACAAATGAATTCTGAACATTGTTAAAAATAGCTTTATCCTCTGAACATATCACATCAATGATGTCAATTCCCTGAGGTTCTAAAACACGCTTACACCTGAAATTAGAATAGGTGTCTATGATTCCCTTCTTATTAACCAATTCCATGGTTTATCTTCAACTTGAGCTGAATACTAAATGAGTTAGATGTGTGATGCGAGGTGATGGCATCTGAATCATAGCAGTCATCAATATGTATGTTTTCGGCCCTTTTTAACGTCCAACTACTGGGCACGGGCGTCCCTTGAATACGAATAGGATTAGGCCATAGTCTACCACACTTGCCAAATGTGGGTTGGCGAAAAGCTAGTGTCATTTGAAAACTTGCTAGGTTCTCTCACGCATGCAGGTTTCCTCACGATATTATCCTTCACCGTAAGGCAAGTGGTAATTATGTTATAAATGATTCGTACATGAAAGTATCAGAGGTGCAAGACCCAGGATTTGAACCCGCTTCACTCGGCTTCTCAAGCGAGCGCGTTACCATTGGGCTACCAGTGCCTTTTCACTGGGCTACCGCTGTTTTCACAGTCATCAGTATTTTATTATAATTATTTAAAATACTATTTTATACATTTGAACAAATTTATATTTACTTCTCTATAGCTGCAGCAAAAGCTGGTATACATAAGAGCTGCTTCCCCATTCCTGACCATTGCGAGCCCATACCACTGTACACGAACCAAAGTGGCCGTTTGGTATCATCGTAGTAAGTCATTTTCTCACATAGGCTAATCGTTGTATTTGATTCGTTCGTATCTGCGTTTATTAAAAGATTAAAAGATATTTAAATTTTAATAAAAAAAATATGTGGTTATAGAAGTTACAAAGATAAAACTCCTTATTGTTTTTTTTTTTCACATCTTCCGTATTTTGGACATTGCCACTTTGTAAAAGAATTGAATATTTGAACACCAGTTTACTTGGATCTAGTTTCATTAAATTTAAATTCGTCTTCTCCATATTATTATCCCACGCTATGAGGGGTCGGCATAATATATTTACTTCTTTCATTCCATTCATAATTTTATCGGTCTACCTCTACTTCTATGTTTACATCTACATACACCTACCATTTATACCTAATACACTCTTGCTTATATAAGCAAGAGGTGCTTATATAAGCGAGTGGTGAACTTATAAAAGCGAGGGAAGAAAATGCTATGACTTTCTTCTCTCGTCGTAGATATGCTCATACAGAAAAGTGTGCAATGTTATATCCCCGTGCCGCAGCGAAATCGTTAAGCCCTTCTCGATTACGAACTACTTCTTAAAATCCTAGATAAAGAAACCTAATGACTTTACTTGAGCCGACGCTACGAGATCAATGAGACAGTTAAATATCCTGTTTAAAGGAAGGCAAATGTTTTTATCGAATTAAAATACTTCAAATTACCGAGGATAACGTAACCACGTCCCAAGTGACCGGAAATTTTCGCCTCGTGAATATTATGCAGTAACGCTAATTCTTCGGGATCTATTGGCCGAGATTTTAGATCATTTATAATTTTTGCCACAGATGATTCCTGTCTTCCTGATAATGTCACCAAGTATGGAATATTTGACTTATAACGCGAAGGGACCTGAAATATTTTTAACAATTTACAGAAATTATCTACAACCAGCTTCCTTGTAGGGTAAACCAGACGTGTCATGTTCAAGATTCGTATTATTTACTCGTATTTTCGAATAGCTACGTTTTAAATAAAATAGACACATGCTGTTGCGGACTTTTCTGTAGGCCTTTTTAAAACCTACAACTACACAACAACTGTAGAATTATTAGGAACATTTATTACCCATGAAAACGAGAAATTTTGACACTCTTAATTGTTAAATAAATAAATATTTTTGGACATTAACACACAGCACTATCTAGTTCCATGGTAAGCTATGAGGCCTGTGTTATGGATACCAGATAGTTGATACACTACACATATACACTTTAAGTACATACATATTATAAACACTATTTAATTAAAAGCACAAACAGGCTTATCCCACGGGAACTGTTTATTTTTCCGAGATGAAAAGTAACCTATTGTTTGACCGGCAATATAAGATATCATCGTGCCAAATTTTACTAAATTAGGTGCATACGTTGTTGTGTACTAAGCTGTATAAGTTATTATAGTTTTTTAACTATCCCACGGGAACTCTTTAATTTTCCGGGATGAAAAGTATCTATGGTGTTGCTCGGGTGATAAGGTATCACCACCATGCAACATTTCATTTAAATCAGTCCAATAGATTCGGAAATTAGCCCGTACAAACAGACAAACAGACAGAAAAAAAATTGAAAAAAATCTGGACTTGTTTTATTTATCTTCTTACATCCCCTTGACTCGGTTTTTAGCATTTTTTTTCTATGTACATACATTCAACCTCTACAGTTTTATTATAGTATAGATAAACACCCATGACTGGCTTACAAACATTCGTGCTCATCACAAAATAAATGCCCCCAGCAGGACTCGAACCCGCGACCCCTGGCACAGCAAGTAGGGTCACTACACTGAGCCAAACGTGTCATCATATATCAATATGTTAATGATCCTCATTGCATAGCTTACGCACGATTGGTAAGGTAGGTCACTACAGAGTTTAAAAATATATAAGATTATGGTGTGAAATGGCACTTTAAAACATATAGGTATGTATTTAATATATTTTAAAAAGTATTTGTATTAGAGCTGCTAAATTCTTGTCTGTACTGTTTCGTGTCTACCCGCCAAAAAAGACGACTAACTTCAGATTGTAATCTAAATCTGTCGCATCGTAAAAAAAACAATCTCATCTTTTTTTCCCTTAACGCGCCAAAATAAGTATAACTCCAAAAAACTGTTCAATATTAAAAATCCATATATTCTTCTTTTTTTAATTTATAAAACCTACCTTTGGCTTATAGCATCCATTTAAGAGAACATGTGTATTGACACCAGTAATTGAAAGCCCGTTAATAGCTGTATAGGAGCGGCCGAAATCTGTATGATCAGTAACAAGGCGAATTTTTCCTTCCCTTAAAGCCGGTACGTCTTGTCGAGGTGAATCACAATGAAGATTGGCGGCGATTTTACCGGTTTCATAGCCCAGGATAACCTATTTTATAACAATAATAATAATAGTCACATAAAGCTATAGTAAAATACAGTAAATACTTATCACTTAGCACCAATATTAATGCTATAGTTACGCTTACGCTTATCTTTTCGTTAAGGCTATTCAACATTTTCTGTTGAATGGGATATGATAAATCTATTAAAACTTAATATAGTCATTAAATACATATTAAAACTATGAAAAAATTATCTAGTTAATATTTATTTAATCTAAGTAATGTAGTATAATAGAATGTACGAGTTCTATGTTTAGATAGACCTTTGTAAGAGCTGACAACCCCGAAGCTGCTGCAGTATATCCAATGTTAGACATCACACTTCCGACCAAGAGTGGATTGATTCTATCCTTGCAAAAAATTTCGCTTATAGCTTCTAACTCGGATTTATCAGCTTCAGGAATAGCTGTTAATAAAAAAATACATTACAATTTATCTTATATTATAAAAAGAAACAAACTTTAATATCATAAAATATATAAATATCACCTGAACCAACAGCTTCAAGATATTCCACCGCTTTAGGGGAAACATTTACTTCATCATAAAATCTTTTTAAAAAATTAGACATGTTTTCGGGTCTACGGTAGAAACCATATATAGGTCCCGTTTCATCTAAACATAAATCGGTAAATTCACATTTAACTTTAACAATCTCTGCATAAATTCTGTAATATAGTAACAACATAAAATTAATTAAATTACAATAAGTAGTGTATCTAATTATTTTTTAAATTAAGCTTCATCAAATATGTACCTCAAAGCATCTTTTGCTTTTTGAAGGAAAACTACATTGATAGCTTCAGATTTTGCGCATCCATCAGCATTTGTATCAAAGGATTTTGTTTTGCCATTGGGACATGTGCTTAAAACCCTGAAAAGTACGAATATTATTTTCATGGGTTTTGGTTTATTGAATACTAGCAGAACCAGCGGTTTCACCCGAGTTCAAAGAAAAAAAAAAACGAACTCTCTGGTTCTAGTTATACCTAACTAATAATTTGATGGATGTAATGATTTTCTAAGGTCTGAGTATTTAGACTTGCGAATCGAGGGTTTAACGCCGAATATTGTGATGTATTTACTAACATAATATTTACACACAAAAATATATTTGGTTACGTTTTCCCAATACGTACTTTATTATTTGCAAAAATAAGTTGTTCATATCATTTCTTAAAGATATTATGGAAAACAAATTTAATTTTAGCAATCGTAACTCAAATTATCCAGTATCTAAAAAGATATTTACCGCATATTCCGTAAATAAATTCTAGTAAATTAAAGTATTTAGCAATTATGACTTAAATTTTCCTTTTAAAAGAAATTTATTCATTATTGTATCTTTTATAATTACTATTTTAAGATTTATAAATGTTCTAAATGTTCAGTATTTTTAATACAACATTGCACAAACAGCTCTAGTTTATCTCTACTTTTTTTACCTGTTGACCCTACTGAAAAGAATCTTTAATTATTGTGCATTAAAGTCGTTTTTATCTTGATCCTGATTTAATTCCTTAACAATAGCATTTGTTAGAATTTTCCACCTGGTCTCTTTGTTGTGTCATTTTTTCTTGACTTTATAGTTCTTTCTGTAACTTTTATGTACCGGTGGATAGCTGACGAAACATAGATATTTTTAAGATGATCGACAGGATAAGTGTCATAGGGATTTTTATAGATGCATGTTATTCGAAGAATTAAAATTAAAAATCCAAAAGTTGTACAGTTTTGGAGCTCTAATTTAAAAATTCTTGAAGATTGTTTTTGTTTTGTTTCTGGTTAATATTAACAAGGATGTGTACGAGTAAGATTAAATATATATATATTATGAAATAAATTGTTCTTTTTTTAATTAAATTTTAAAGTCACAAACCCTCCTACCTATAAAAAAGAAAAAATAATAATAACTAGAAAACGATACACTTTTGCATACGCACTTTGAGGGTCGATTGATAGCTAATATCCTGTACTATAACCCTTTAACGGGATCGTGACGTATTACCAAAAATCCTGTATATATAGGTACGTACGTACGTACAAAAACCCTGTATATATAGGACGAGCCTGAGCTAAGCGAGAGTGAGTCGCTAGTATGCCTGTAAAATTTAAATTAAGACCTCGTAATAAATTAATTCAAATATATACCTCCCGTAATGGAAAGTAGTTTGTGGATGAAGACAGAGATGAGATCCAGCTACAACTGCCATTTCACAGTCACCGCGAGTCATAGCGAGGTAAGCTAATTCCAACGCACAAATAGAGCTGCAGCACCCTTCATCGATGGCCATTGAAGGTCCCTTCGCATTTAGCCAATATGAAATACGATTCGCGAACATAGCTTTATTAGTCCTACAAATACAAATGTTCCAAATTAACAAATCAATGAGTCTCGTCAAGTCTATGATAAAACTAGACAAACAAAATATATCTAGAATTGAAATAGATTTTAGCAGTTACATACTCTTAATGATAATTAATTTTATTAGATATGTTTTAATGAATGTTATGAATAGGAAGAAGTCAAGAACGACCTGTTTATATTAGATATTGTAAATAACTGTGTACATTTAATTGTTTTTTCAAGTAAATCTTACCTATAGTGACAGTTTTAACTATATTTTATTTGTAATATTACATAAAAGGAATCTTTACCTAGAAGATGATGATGGCTCAAACTTAAAAAGTTAAAATAAATTAATTCTGAAAAGACATTTTTAATAAAAACTTTAAAATAAAAAACCGACTTCCAGGCACTAAAATGTAAAAAATTACAAAACGGAGGTTTTCATTTAGAATAGATACTTAAGAGTCCGTATACGAAATTTTGCCGACTTCGTTGATTTACGCGATTTTATGAACGCTATTTCACAGTTAAAACATAATTTTTCTATAAGTGTACAATACATAGTATGAACGATCATTTCAATTATGATCCAATGTGAATTTTACAAATCCATGAGAGTGAAAGTAAAAGAATTGTAAAAAATATTAAAGCATCAAAACGGTTAATTGCTAGACGGCGTCTTCGGATTTACGCACACACGCGACAGAGCGCTACTGCGCGTGAGTGTGTGCGCGGTGTGCGCGCGTTAAATGCCTAATTTCGCTCGTTTTGATTTCGTATACGGCCTTTTAAGCGAAGTCGGTGCCAGCTAATGCAAAGCAAATCTAATATATTGCGATATGTAAAATACATATTTATCTATTAGATATTCATATCTTAAAATATTGTAGGCTGGCACCGACTTCGAAAATATCTGATTAAGTATCTATTCTAAATGAAAAGCTCCGTTTAGTTATTTTTTCTATTTTAGTGCCTGGCACTCGGTTTTTTTAAGTTTTTATTTGTCCATTTTTAGTGCAGACGTAATAAGCAGGTAATTTGTTAGAAGAAGTTTTTTAATAACATGTTCGATTAAGCAACTTGTTTAAAAAAATAATTTATTTGTTGCTTTAAAAAACTGCTCTACTGATTTCAATAAAATTTATATGGGACCACCCTTTGCAACAAAAAAATATTTCCAAATTGGTTCAGGCGTCTTCGAGTAATCGGTGAACATACATAAAAAAAGAAAAAAAAAGATTCCGACGAATTGAGAATCTCCTCCTTTTTAGGGAAGTCGGTTAAAAACAAGCTATTATTTAAATGCTCTAAAAAGAAGAAAATACTTTAAATTAAATCAAACCTATCAATTTATTACATAACACAGTTCATATGATATAAAAGCTTGTCACGAGATTTACCTGTGTAGATAAACAAGAAAAAAAGTGTTAAAAATATATTTTTATAAAATATGGTTTTTAGTTATTCATATTCTTCTTAAAACACCCTTTCATTTCATATCCATATCATGGGAGTGCATAAAAAATCATGGTTCGCCATCTTTGGGAGTTCACCATATTGGATTTACAATGACGTCATTTGCTTTTGCTTATCAAGCCCTTTCATTTAATGCCCATATCATAAGGGTTCACCATATTTTATAAAAATTGGCGGCATTTAAATAATCGTACAGTGTATCGGAAACCAAACTAGTGTGCCAAATTTCAGCTCAGTCGGGCACTCGCAAGTGGGTCAAATTTAACTTCCAAGATTCCAGATACACAACCCCAGACAGGTAAAAATAAAAGCTTGTATAAATGGTGTGATGTCATAAAAAAACAGCAATTAAATAGTAAGTACTGACTAAAAATACTTACCCTGTTATACCAAGACCGGTCTTAACTCTAGGACAATAGATATTAGACTTTTCAGATTCAGAATGACAGACACCAACGTAAACACCAATTTTCTTCCCAGATATTAAATCCGGATTAACACCTGTAATAAAGATAAATTTCTTTCTTATTAAAATGCGCTTTGTTTCGATACAAGATAGAAGAAATAATTTTCGAAGAAGAAGTAGATATAATAGTAGTTAATTTATAAAATAACTTTTTATTAACCAACTTCATTAAAAAAAAACCACTTTCAGGCATTATAAAGTAAAAAATAACTGAACGACGGTTTTCGTTTAGTCAGTGCCAGCCGACAATGCTTTAAGATAGGAATATCTAGGTGAAAATGACTAGATTTGAACTTCAATAATTGTAGTTAAAATATTTTTATTATACATTAATTTGTGATGTATTTATTATATTATACATATCTAAAGAGCATTGCATTTGCATCGTCTGGCACCGACTTCGAAAATATCTTATTAGGTATCTATAGTAAATGAAAGAGCCGTTAGTTATTTTTTACTCTTTAGTGCCTGGAAGTCAGTTTTAATTTTTTTTAAGTTTCAATTTTTCTATTTTTGGTGTAGACGTATAAGCAGCATTTGTAAGAAGAAAGTTTTTAATAACATATTCGATTAGGCTATGTATGTTTGGGTGCTGCTAAATTTTATGGGACTAAGAAATTAAAAAAAATCACTTTAAATAATAACACTAAAATCAGGCTTTAAAATAGAATTCTAACTTATTGGGCTTGTCAAATGAAAATTAAATAAGCTTAAACTCAAAGAATTTACTAGTAGCCGTTGAAAAGTTCCACTATCCACTTTCTGGCCTCACCATCAGATAAGCTCGATGATACCAAATAACTGTATTATCTTAAGAAATAAAAAAATTGTAAAGTTTCAACTCGATATGCCAATCGGAACTAGATAAAAAAGACTAGATCTTTTAATATATGTAGTTCAAATATCATGTTTTTTTCGGATTTTCTTGAATACGATAAATTATGTGTTAAAAAAAAAATAGGCGACCACCACCATTTAAAGTAGCAAAATCGGTTAAGTAATCTCCGAGAAATCTGTGAACATTCCTCTTTAAGGAAATTTAACTTAACTTTTTCTTAAACTGTTCAGTTATTGTTTTACTTTTTAGTGTCTGGAAGTCGGTTTTTTTAAGTTTTTTAATATCGTATCAAATATAAAGTAACGAAAAATTTGGTTCTGTAAACTGTCTTACCAGCATCGTAAATGGCTTGATACGTTTGTTCCAAAATCTTACGGGACATAGCATCCATAAAGTGTCCTTGACGATAAGTGATTTTGAAGAATTGGGCGTCAAATTTTGTAAGGTCTGACAATGTACCTAAATATTGCGCTACCTCAGGATGATCATAATTCCAACGATCTTTTTGCTTATTCACCGGATTAGTCTTAAAATAATAACATCACCATTACACTTACTGGTAATCGATCATACAATTGTAAATAACTAGCAACTTACTACTAGTCCCAAGGTATGTTTTAAGTAGATAAACATTGTATATTAGGAGATAGACACATAGTATCTCAATTTTCTGTTGGTCTTTTTAAAATCTTTTTAATACATTGATTTGATCTTAAGGTTTAGAATAGATTACGCCGTCGATAGCCAGTTTGAGCTCTGAGAAGTCTTGCCGATCAGTCATGTTACACACTGTATAGTAGATATACATATGAATAATAAAAAAACTGACCATTTCAATATTTTCGACCTGACTTAATATGTAACATACACAAATAAACATAACCAAGAGTCAAAAAAGGACAATAGCAAAAATTTTGTTACCTTATTATACAGAATTTCTGAAAATTCTTTAATATTTCGTGATTCAGGATATAAGCCTGCAACGCCAGAGATAACAATCCTATCGCTTGCATTTACGGTAGGTTTGATCCTGGTGGGCTCTTGAGTTATGGGTTCCATTGTTCTGTAAAGTACTATTTAAAATAATTAAACATTTTAAAAACTGAAAATTTTAACAAATATTTTGTTAAAATTTATATTATATACCCACAGCTTTTATTATTATTTAAAACAAAACAACAAATAAATAAAAGATTTCTCTAAAATGTAAAAAAGAACTAAATGGAGGTTTTTATTTAGAATAGATACCTAATCAGATATTTTCGAAGTCGGTGCCAGCCAATGCAAAGCAAATCTAATATATTTCGATACGTAAAATACATATTTACCTATTACATATTCATATCTTAGGTATCTATTCTAAATGAAAACCTCCGTTTAGTTATTTTTTATATTTTAGTGCCTGGAAATCGGTTTTTTTAAGTTTTTTTTTCCATTTTTAGTGTAGACATAATATGCAAGTAATTTGTAATAAGAAAGTTTTTTAATAACATATTCGATTAAACGATTTATTTAAAAAATATATTTATTGTTGATTTTTTAAACAACCGCTCGACCAATTTCGATAAAATTTATATGAAACCGCCTGGGAAGTATACCCTTTGAAACAAAAAAATATTCCAAATTGGTTCAGGCGTCTTCGAGTAATCAGTGAACATATATAAAAGAAAGATTCCGACGAATTGAGAACTTCCTCCTTTTTTTGGGAAGTCGGTTAAAAATAATTTATTAATAATTTAAATGGAATACGCGTATGGCTTGTAAGTTAAGATATTTTTATTCATCAAATAAAATCAATACTCCCAAACATAATTAGCGAACTCCGAAAGCCAATAATAAAACACGCGAGACAATATTGCATTATGGGAGTTACCCCGTGTGACAGCGTATTTATTAAGCATTTTTTGTGATTTTTTTGACAACCAATGAAAAGATAGAACTCAGAGTTCTTTAACGTTTATTTATTACTATTTCAAGAATATGTAAAACAAACAAGTAAATTTTGTAACACTGCAAAGACACACCTCCTCGAAAAAAAGGACGCTCACTTCGTCCACGATTTCGGCTAATTGGATTATCTGAAAGAAAAAAAGCAACGGGGTTTTAATTTTTAAGCTCAAATGCCTCGAGTGATCAAGAATCATTTGAAAATATGGATAAATTGGGTTTTCACAGACTTTTGCAAAAAAGTATCAAATTTCATGATTTGTTTTAATATTTTCGTTAAGGAAAAAATTTAAATATTCGGAATTCTTTGATTATTCTAGGTGGACGCCATGCGTCTACGTGTACTAAATTTTAAGTGAATTACTCAAACCGTTCTCTAGATATGATGGAGGAAAATTTGAGAAAACAGTTTCAAGACATACTGTTTTTTGATTCTAAAGTTTCTTCGTATGACTTAGCACCTAAAATCCCCTTGATTTTTTTTGTCACAATCACCTTTGCCACCTTGCAAATATTTGTGTGATTTATTTCCCTTTTACCAGAGCTTCCAGTATGATTTATGCTGCATTCATCGGTGTAAGATTTATACCACATTTAAAACCCTAATTGTTCCTTTTTTTATTTTTCCAGTTATTACATCCAGCAGCGTTAAAACTGCACATAGCTATAGCGTCTAAATCATCTGGTGTATTTTTCAATCATCGTACAGATACCAAATAGAGATGAGAAGCCTTGTTTTCTTCAAGTGCCGCCCTGAAATTGTTAATCCATCACGTGGCTTTCCAACATCTTCATTCATGTTTTTCTCTTGCGTAGCCGCAAATGTCAACATAGTATCAAAAACTGAAAATGCGGCTATATGAATATTCTCTAAAAGTGCGTAATACGTTGAGTTATAAATAGCTGAAACATATATCCATGAGGACTGCTGAAAAGATTTACTCCTTCATGATCAATTTCTTGTAAACGCATTACAAATACAAAGCGGTGATTAATTTCATATGCATTCTGAATCACTGAGCACGAATTTATAACTTTCTGTTTTTTATAGTTGCAAGACTGAACGATTATACGAGTAAAACCTAAGCGTCGAAAACTCGATTGCGTGAAAGACATCACTTTTACATTCCTTACATATAACAGTACCAGAGATGGCAGAAAATATTGATACACACTCCAAAATGCGCGAAACGCGATACTTGAAGCAATACGATGTCCATACCGTCTTTGAGTTTCTTAGCAGAAGCTGGTAGTGATATATATATATATATATATATATATATATATATATATATATATATATAATGTAATTTTTATTTCAGGCAATATTTACAAAAAGATCTTAAATATATACCTTAAAACTAACATATATATATTATATTAATTATAACTATTTAACACGTAGTCCAGACGTGTGAGCTATGTCAGCGGGCAAACGACCTCGGAACTTCCGAAACAGGATGCCCTGCGGCCAGAAGTCCTCCTTTATGAAGGTTGGCAGATGATGAGTCGGCATTCTCACCAAAATCGAATTGAAACTCGTTTTGTGGCGAGGTACCAGCCGTTAAACCCTCAATTTGAAGTTGGACCTCTTCTGGACGTAGTCTACGACATCCCAGTACAATCGGGACACATACAGCGGCGTAGATGGTATGGCAGGGCGCATCGGATGGTCTGGCTGGTTCAGAGCTGTGCCACATATGTTACGGCATGAGGGCTTCCTCTTCTTCCTCTCCACTTTAGTGAAGCCCTCCTCGTCATATTTGTTCTTTGTGGAACCCGACGGAGGCACCTGTTTGGCAGCTTGCCTGCTCCGGCTCTTCTTTTTCTCTCCATTCGAGGGCCGCTTGCTTGGCGGGGCGGGTGTAGCGGCGGGGGTGGGCGCGGCTGCAACTGTGGCGTATGCATGCGACGGGTCATGACCACGTTCGCATTCGACGTCATCAGCGGGGCCGGGGAGCGGGTGGCGGTCGTCGCTGTGTCGCGCGATTCGTGCACCTCAGCAGTAATCGGCGGCGACGACAAACTGCTGATGGAGTCAATTTGTGCGCCACGACGTGTGTTTACGTTAATGAACTCCGGTGACCTACTTACAGAACCATTATTTTTGCATGATAATAACTCTGCACGCAGCTTACTGATGGTAGATTCGGAAATCTCTAACGTAAACTGCACCTCTGCCAGGCCAGTTTTCAGGGTGGTGATATCCTTGAGCAGCTTGGTGACGTCAACGTGGTCAAACGTGACGGG